TCTTCTTCTTACTTCTTTGGTCTTTAGTTAAGAATTTAGACAGCTTACATCCAGAGTTTTATTGGATTGAGAAATGGTGGCTCTAATAAGTCCCTTTATTTTGCAAATAAGAAAAACATGTCCTGCTAAATGGTTTGCTCAAAGCCACACAGCTAGTTAGAGAGAAAGCCTGCACTAGAATCCATGGTTGGTTTGTTTTTAATTCCAGTTCAGTGCTCTTTCATTCCCCCATATTCAGTGTACAAGTGTAGGTCAAGCCTTGGGAATGAATTGCCAGAAATCCATGAGCTTCTTGGTTCCTTCTGGAAGCAATTTAATATGCATTTGAGGGTCCTTCTGTACTTTATGTGGCCTCTTTATAGAGGCCTATTTGATATGGGCACAAGTATGTCTTCTGGAATGCATGATGACACTGTTAAGTAAAGCTTTGGCTCTTCCAGTGCCTTGTAACAGGAGAGATTGAATTCACAGGCCCACTCTGTATTAACGGATGTTATTAAAAAGTAACATCACCAAAGAGCCAAATATGCCACAGGTTGGCATTCACTGCAGCTCTGGTCTGCCCCCTTGTGCCTATCTCTATTAATGCATATCCTTAGGACAGCTAGGGGTGGAGCAAAGATTGGATTCTTCTTCCCCTTTGACATCACCTTTCATCCTCTTCCCCCACATGGCCCCTCCTGCTCCCCTTTGTCCATTTACAGTCCACATTACAGAACTGGTTCATGGACAACTTGGATTTTTGTGTGACTATGAATTCCTCCCACTCAGGCTGTGGCAATGCTAAGGCCACTCATTCTCGGCTGGCCCCCCCCCCCCCCCAAACCTCAAATAAGCATAATTCATCATAATCAGCATTAGCAGAGACCTTCCTAAGTGTCTGGCCTGATTCCCAGGATTTATGCTTTATGGCATTTCATCCTCCATGGCACCTTTCATTGCTCCTATTTTACAGATGAGAAAACTGAGGCTTAGAGGGCTATATGACTTTCCTCAGTCGCACAGTATGTAGCAGATCCAGGATTCCAGTTCACAAACTTGTGCCTTGAACCACTATGGTATACAACCCTTTCACCCTAAAGATAAGCTGCACACCTTACAATGAAACAGGACTTCAAGACCTGTCCCCGATCCCTCCACAACCCCCCCCCCCATAAATAAGAATTCTGGGGCCACCACTGCACTCAAGCTGGTCCTGGCTTCCAAGCATGGACTCTGGAGGGCAGAGATCAGAGTTCCTGCCCAGGGTCCCAGAGAGAATCTGCCCTTGGCTTGTATCCCTGGCTCCGCTCCCTACTTGCTAGTGATCTGCGTAAGTCACTTCCCCTCTCTGGGCCTGGCAGCGTGCCCCCTGTCAAATGAGACAGTGGCTGGATCAGAGGCTCCAGGCTGGAAACCTTTCAGGGGTGGGACCAGCTCCCCTCCAGCAGGAAGGCCTGGAGGCGGGGGGTGGGACCCACTCATCTAAAACACTTCTGCCCAGCACTCGCCAGGCCTCCTGTCCAGATCTTCCCAGCAGAAAGCTCGAACTATGGTAAGTGCCTGCCTGCCTGCCTCTGGGTGGTGCGTCTGCAGGCGGACTCCTGGAAGCACCTGTGTCCTGAGCCTCCATGTCTCCGTGTCTCACTGTGCTTTCCTTTCTCCTTAGACCACGTACAGCAACAAAGGCGTGAAGGTGAGCAGAAGAGGGGATGTGGGGCCTGGGGTTGGACAGGGTCAGGGTCCAGGGAGACCAGCATGGCAGCAAAGAAGAGCGACAGTGGACATGTGAAGTCCACGCTCCCTCCCCAGGACGGAGCTGGGCTGCACCTTGCCCTCCGAAAAAATGTTTACCTCTTCTTAGCCCTGCCAATCTCTGAATCCTGTCTGGAAGTTCTTTCTAAGGTCTAACTTAAATCTCTGTTGCTGCAGCATAAAGCTGTTTCCTTCTGTGGAAGCTGAGTAGGCCTCCTGAGGGGGCTTCCTGATCATGAGAAGCTTCTTTTGAGGCTAGGCAGGACTAGCTTCTCCTAAATTCTGGGGTTTGGGCTGAGACCAGGGAGGTGTCTGGGGGCCCTCGCCCTGCACTTGCACACTTTTCTAGATTACGTCCAGGGAGTCAAGCCCGCCCCTCTCTCCCTCCCGTAGCCTGAGAGAGGCCGGTTCCTGCACTTCCACTCGGTGACCTTTTGGGTCGGCAATGCCAAACAGGTAGAAGGGCTGGGGGGCTCAGGTGGGCAGAGGGCAGGCAAGAGGACCTCTTGGACAAGTCAGTCCTCTGGCCAGGGCTGTGATTGGCCCCTGGAAGGGGAGGGTCAGGGCCAGCCCTGGGAATGTCCCAGGAGGGAGGGACACGCTTTGGGTCTTAATTACACAATCAGGACCATGGACCCCAGCAGGAAGCTTAAACGAGGCCAGAATGAGCCAGGGGGCAGCCGTTCCTCCCGGGAGGGTCTCTGTGCCTGAGACAACGAAGCAGATGGGCTGAGCAGGCTGGGGGCTCTCAGCCAGGGGCACCTAGGCTGGCCCCCTGACCCTCATTAACCCGGCTGCGACTCTGATACAGGCTGCGTCGTTCTACTGCAGCAAGATGGGCTTTGAACCGCTAGCCTACAAGGGCCTGGAGACAGGCTCCCGGGAGGTGGTCAGCCACGTGATCAAGCACGGGAAGGTGAGCCCCACCCCAGGACCTCACCCCTCCCCAGGGAGGCTGGCGCTCTCCCCTGCGGGTCTGCAGCTGGGGCTATAGTCCGTGCAGTGCCTC